AATTGATATTCCACTACCTACGCATTACTTAGAATTATTCCGTCTTCTTACCAACTTCCTAACCAATGGCTATGAAAACGGGACTGGCATGGAGTGAGGAAGTTAATGGAATTACGATGTAGTGGTTTACAGTATTTTCTTTCTATATTTTTTAAAACTTAATGTAATAAATTTTTAAAGTATGAACTAAGTGGATATTTGCTCACTCGGAAGTTCTCACTCAAAACCCATGTGAAGAGGACTCATAAAAGTTCGCAATTTGATCGAAAAATTCAATGGAAAAATTTTCAAATAAGCCTCTAAAAATTTTATTCTAACCATCAAACTAAATCTTAAGCCTATAAAACTATATGTTTGAATTATTCATATTTATAAGTCGATCTAACAACAATCTCTAAATATTTTTTTACTTGCACGGCAAATGCAAACCTCGAATTCGGTTATTTAAAAAATAATAATCGAGGAGGTCCAGTCGAACTACGAAGAACTTTGAACGATAAAAGTGATTTGTGTAAAGTAAAAGCACTGGACATAGGAATAATTAAACATGGCGAAATTACGTGGCTTTTTTCAATTGAAAATTAATTTCTTTGAAAATTGTGTTCACCTGCCACTTCATTTTGAAGGATGCAATTTGGTAAAAATTGCATACAACAAAAGTTAGCTGAAGTATTATGGCCTCTAATTCCCATAGGATTAATTGCGTTTGATATGACAAACTGATCTTAATTTATCAGTAACAGATGATGCACGAATGGAAGTTAGAGGAATCAGGGATAGGTGATGGATTTCCACTCTAGTGTGTGAGGCTATCGGAACATATTGCAAAGGGTGTCAAAACATCCCCCATGCGATGATATATTGGTTTACCACCCCTCCTTGGATCAACTACTGATAAACAAAGGTAATATCCCAAATAGAAGTCAGCATTTGGCAACTATCAAGCCAAGTTATAAATTTTGCATTTATTATTCACATCGGTAAAACCTAATCAAAAGAGTACATAAACATTTATGTAAGTTAGAGCAGAGTACAAGGTAATTATGGAGAGCAGCTTCCAAACCGAATGAAGACAAATGCGTGCTTCGTCGATATGGAGGTGACGAAGGGGAAGTGGTGGAGGTAAATTCTGAGCAGAACCCTCATCAGCTGCCCGTTTTAAGCTAATTTTTCCACCCAGGACCTCGTGGAAGGGAGAGATAGATTTTTTCCTGGGCACCACAGGATGGGATTTCTCCCACCTACTGACGTGTTTGCTCACCTGTCTGCCTTCCTGCTCATTTTTCGTGCATTTTGTCGACTGGAACGTCCTCGAATCCACGTAAGCGACAGGAAGCAAAGAAAAGAAAAAAAAGGACGGAAAGGAAGTTGAAATAAGAGGTAATGGTGATCAACTCGACAGCTAACCAAGAGGGGTTTTAACCTCGCATTGAGATGTGCTCATTTGGGTATGAACATTGAATAACTAACCAATGCGATGCTACGTAAATAACATGATGGGCCAATTATTTCAAAACAATTAACTAATTGGTTAATCCTAATTACTCGGTTGGGCAAACTTCTGAGAAATTTCATTTTTGAACAAAATGTACTGCTAATCTATTTCGAAATTGACATGAGAGGAATTCGTATAAAATTGGTGGCAGAATTATTTCAAAAAACAGAAAGTATTTATTTTGAGTCCTGGGATTTTTGTTTCTTAAGATTTGCTATTTCGGCAATCTGATTATCGATTTTCAGAATTGATAATTTACACACTGTCACCACCTCGTCCAGTTCCTTCACTAACCACTTACCGTTCATCACTCGCTTGGCAACGACTGCTTAGCATTTTCAGCTATTGCGATATGGAGCTCAGTCTGGGAAACCACATATCCAAATTTCACTAAGGAATGTGTTACCTTTTATCCATGTTTATTTTTATATCGTTTTGATGCTGATTTCTTTCGCTTTAGGTCATATATGAGAAGAACGTCCATAATCTCCATTCAGATAGATTAAGTGCAGTACATACTGCTAAGAGTGCTAAGTTGTAATAAACAATAACGAAACAAATTTAATTCAAAAGATTGTGATAAACTTAATGAGAAGCGCAGATTTAAATTTCTAAAATAACCATAAAACATAGAAGTGGGAAAAAATGTTAAATGTCCAAAAGAGTCAATTGATAAAAGAATAGGTAACACAGATGGTATTTAGCACATATTAAGAATGTACAATAGTCAGAAAAAATTGACCATGGATTGCTCACAATATTTTTTATATATGTTTATTCAACTTTATCCTATATTATAAAACTATATTTTGGAGAAGAAATTTTGCCATTATCATTAATTTGTTAGTAGAGAAATTCTTCGATATTCATTTAGAAATATTCTGGTGGCATCATTTACCAATTCAATTTTAAACTATACAGATGCATAACTTTCCGTCTGATTTTAAACAAGGTTAAGTTTTTTAGTTAATTTTCAAAATCATTTTAAACTATATGATGCGTTTACAAAAATATATAAATTGAAATATCTTAAAAATCAAGTTGTTTGGCATTGCCGTTTAAAATTATTTGAATATTTGTCACGAGTTTGCAGAATTAATGATATACTTCTCTCTCTAAATGTGGAGTTTTTAAACTTATATGTTGATTCTAGTATTATGCCGTCTCATCTTTTAGAAGAAAAATTGTGAATGACTTATCAAGGTAAGCCATACAAGCTAATCAGGCAGGCAATGGATACTAATGATCGTAGGTTTGATTTCCTTTCACCAGCACGGGTGATGAAAGATTTGATTTTCAACCTAAATCACTCTTTTTACAATATTTACCAAAAAGAAGGCAAGCAATTATCTTTTATGTAAGATTTCTTAGTCATCGCAAATCTTTAATATTATACAAAGTTTTATTCTCCGATTTTGTATCTAACATATTGACTACTTTAAGAAATTAACTATACATCCCACAAGTAATGAGTATAATTTGCAAATCCTTTTATTATATAAATAATGAAATAATAAAATTTATTTTAAATATAGATTCACAAAAAATTCAAATTGTGAAAGCTGCTACATGGTTTTATATAATGTTGTGCGGCTTGGTCCACCATGGGTAACTTGTACTCATACGTCAAAAGATTCTTTGATAAAGCCTTTGACCTCAGGCTTCACAACCCCACTGTATGTCATATTCGATCACTTCCACAGTAAACGTCTTACCTTTAATATGCCTTTGTGTCCATCAATCTCTTATATACCTGTGAATCACTCTACTGTTCCCCGTCTCCACTTTTTTTCAAATTTGATATTCCTCCCCTCTCTAAAGCCCAAAATCAACTAAAGGGCATAACTATCAAAACACCTTCAGTTTGTAAAAAATAAATTTATTGAACAAACCCCACAAGGTAAAATTAAAGAAATAGAATCGATCTTAAAATTTATAATATTTATCGATTTTGACGTACCTGAAATTATCAATCGTTATGAAAATATGATCAAGTTGCGTTAATAGTTATCGTAATTATAGCGGATCGCTTAAATTCCATCCAGTAAAATGGGACACGAAAATGAGCATTCTGAGGTTCACGAACATCACAATGATCATTACTTTGAAGTTTCAAGGGAAGATCTTTTCAAACCTTATAAGCCTTCAGCTATTGAGAAATATGTCTTGCCTTTCCTTGGAAAGATATTTGATGTTCCCGTAACTCTATTCAAAGGTACTCATTTGGGCATATATTATTGAAATTTAGAGCAAATAGTTGACAGAATACCACGCAAGAAGTTCTATTATTATCATCAACGCTACCCACGTGTTCCCGAGATTGACTCTTGTATGGTTGATGACAGAGTCTGCATTGCTGAGGCTAATGATCAATTTACTCGGGACAGGTATTAAACTATTTGTTATAATATTTGAAAATTTCGTTATTTGATTTATTACGAAGAAAATTATTAACTCCGTAGATATGTTGACGCAAATATTGTCAGAATTCTTCGCCAACGTGTGGATGCTTGTCGGAAGTGGTATGATCGTGATTATGAAGATATGGAACGATTTTGTGCTCCTTACTACAAAGACCACGAGGAGGCCGCTACCAATTTCTACATTAAATGTAAATAATTTTCGCTACTTAATCTGATGTTTAGATGGTGAACTATTTTACTGGAGCGACGTTCGGGATGCTTTCATGAAGCAAAAGCACCGTATGCTCTTTGAACGAGATGTAGGTCCTATTGGTGCCAAGAAGAAGTCAGATGAAGGAGGTGATAAAGAGGCTGACAATGCGATTTCATTCTTGCGTCGTTTCCATGGCCACGTCAATTTGCCGAAGGAATTGAGATTCTAGTTTTCGGTATGCTCTCAACCGTGTATCAAGTATCAATATCTCCCCCACAATGTAGTTATCGTTAACATTTTTTCGATAGTATACAAAATCGAGGTTCTCCGTGAATACTATCTTCCAAACCTTTTACCGGTTGTTACTGTCGAATTAATAGAAATAAACCAAATCTTTCTTGTATGAACTGTGGGGAAAAATATTTTCCATTTATTATTCACATTATTTTTTCAATGGCGCCTAAATAACTAATTTGCTTTTTACGCTATATCTACATCTTACCTACTCTTGTGAAATAAGGTATTTAAATGGAAACTGATGTACGATTAATGTACTTGGTTTTTATCTTTGCATAATCTCCGGCGAACTTAATTAAACAGAACAGAGGATTTTGCTTCCTTAAGAGACGGCTTTAAAATGTTAATTACATTCGTTGGCTATTCGTGTGTGACTATTCATTGGATACCATTTAATTCCTCTTTCGCCAATAAATTCTGTTGCATTTGGAGTTGTCCTTTGCTTAAAAATGTGTATAGTTACACTAATTATGCTTACGTTATTCAAATTAAAACATTACTTCACTTTGTTGCCTATAGGAAAAGTAATAAAAGTTCAAGTAAATAAACGCTATTATGCTCTGCTATGTCAATGTAATCGACCTCATTTGATGCATCCGTTGTTTGGATGCTAGAAGCCCATTTCAACCTATCAATGAACTTTTTTGTTCTGTGGATATTTTGGGGGACAAATCCTGAAATATCAAGCGTTGGACTACATGTAAAAGTGGTTACGAGTCATTAGATTAAAGTTCTTAGTATTTTAATTCCCCTTATATTTGCCCCCTTCTTTACTGCTTTGTCGTAGAAAAATTTAAAACATTGAGTTGTGTAATAATATTCAAGATCTTATTTACTTACAATCATTGATAGACTTTCAATGTACTATTGCATAACTCTAGCATAAAGTGCAAATTCAAAATGGAACAGGAGGATGGAAGCCTATATGAGGTGGCTTGTCATCTTTGTGGTGGATGATGTATAATTAAGGGTTTTGGTAAATCTCTTAGAATCCTGTCTAGTTGGGGACAAATGCAACTGCAGGGGCCTCTGGCATTGATGTTGGCTGCTCCCATTAATGACCTATGTTTTGTTCAAAGGGATGAGGATACGGAATATTTGTGCTTTTCATTAGTGTGTTTGCTGTTCTCACTCAAGGCCTCGTTTCTTAATTGCGAATTTTTATTGCATGCATATGACTGGATAAATAATTGGCTTCAGGTAGAATGTGAACAAATGGAGGTATTCAAACGCAAACTGAACAGACCCGTGCTGGAAGTTTTGATTTATGCTTCGCACGTTGCAATTGCTGGTGAGAGATGAAATTGGTGAATGTCTATAGACTCTGATAAAATCGAAAAATTCAAAGTGATTTCAAGTGACCTACACGATAATGGCTCGCCAAGTGGGTAAACCGAATATCTCATGACCTAAATCCGGTGAATTTAAGCGAGTGAGATCAATTTCACTGAAATGTCCTAGACAAATTTCGAAGAAATGAGTATTCAATTTGTTCAGGCAATTGAATCATTCGAACAGTGCTAAAGTGATACAATTGGAGATCGTGTGTCCAATGACCACTGAAACTCCTGCAGTATATGCTATATTCAACACCTCTGGATGAGTGTGGCTTACGGAAGGGTGGGGGAATTTGGTGTCTTACATAGGGTGGTGCATGATGTTGTATATCGCCTCAACACCCACTTATAAGCTTGCCATAAAATCACACTAAGCGTTCAACTGGCGATGTTTGCACATGCCACTATCCCAAACCGTTAATTTGGCAGTAAAGTCTTGCCTAGAGTCGGAGAAGTACGATACGCAACTAGCCCACTCGATCAGTTTGCAAAAGATCATAAAATCGGCGTATTCGGGAGCAACCAGTATTTTCACCCATTATGTAGGTCCCATTGTTAGAGAGCTATCGACAGGATGAGTGTGAGCATGCGCAAATCTACAGAGTACAAAATTAAGGATGGAAAGTGCTATGACAATTTCCGTCACCAAGCCATTAGAAAAGTAGTTAAGAGGCATTTCTTGAGGGTTTAAAGAAAGACGAAAAATGAAAATAGATGGCACTCAATATTAAACCGGGTGTGTGTTTTTGGAGAAGAGCCTATTGTGCTATTTACTGTTATCTAGTTCATATGTTCTGGCTCACCAAATGATCGGAAGAATGTTTGCCTTTTGCACACCTCTGGAATAATCCAACATAGACATTTCCTATAAAATCGTGACTACTCAATTCATCTTAAGCAGATGTAATTGTTTAAATTTAGCGAAATAGTTTGTACTGTATACTTTCTCAACCTCATCAAAGTCAGCATGAGAAGGTCGGAGGTTATGTTTATTCTGTTGATGACAACCACCCATTTATTTATTAGTGTTTAAATGTTGAATCGATCTACTTGAATGAAACTTTAGTACATTAAGTTCAAATCGCCAATAATAAAATATTTTATTAAGAAGTAGCCAAAGTGTAAGACATTATTTAGAATCATAGGAGGGAAAATAAGGAGTAAGAAAAAATAAATTAAGTACAGGGCAGTCAATTAAATGCAAATTGGTCATTGTTGGCGCAATTAGTGGCCAGAGGGAAATTCTGTTAAAGTGAGGGACAAATAATTGGAGAAGTGGAAGATAGAATGGGAAGGAAATAAATTGGGTGGATGTGGAGGGCTTAGGAGCGTGAGTCGTCATCCAAGAAGTCGTCACCATATGCCAAGGCGATAAGCCATCTCTTCATTTGTTCGGGACTGCAGTCATCTTCATCGGAGTTGGCAGCGAAGTAGTCGAGTTGTAAGGCATCCTCCGCAGTTATCCTTGCGGTTGGGCAGAGAGTCAATAACCTAAAGCGATAAATTGATGTGTGGGTGTTTGTGTTGAGCAGTAAGTCAATTTGGAAATGCCTGTGAGAGAAGGCAGTGGAAAGGAGACAAAAACTCACCGTTCTAGCAGATGATATGTGTCATCAGAGACTGCGCGACCGAGGCTACTTCTCAGGTGGCTAGTGTGTCCATCGGGTAAGTCCACCAACTGCATACCGCGCAAACCACTCACACCCGGCCACGCACTCTCTGTCGGTTTTCCACAAATCCTCAAAATGCCCCCTATCATCTCACACTCACGGCCAAATTGAAACAGGCATCTTTGCATTATCATCTCCCCGAGTACACACCCAGCCGACCACACGTCGATTGCAGATGTGTACTCCTCGCAACCTGTGAAAGAAAAAGCAGTGAGTTGGATGGCTATGCCAAAGAAACTCCACTGAAATTTAGCGTAATAGGAAGAAGTGAGCTTACCGAGTAGTTGCTCGATGCTTGAGTACCACAGAGAGCCAAAATCATTGGTGTTGAGCATCTGCGTGGAAGTGCATTCGATTGCGTGACCGAAGTCGCAAATCTTGAGAATACCGATGTCGGTGACTAGCAAATTACTTGGCTTCAAGTCCCGATGTATGATTCGGTGAGCATGGAGACAGGCAATGCCAGAGAGAAGTTGCCGCATAAAGAAGCGCATGTGGGAGTCACTGAAGGTGTGTGGAGAATCTCTGGAGAAAGAGATAATGTCTTCGAATGAGTGCTCCACGAATTCGAGGACTAAACAAATCCGCCTTTGGCGAGAAATCACTGTTTCAATGTATTGAATTATATTGGGATGACTGAGTTTGGAGAGAATGTCCACCTCTCTTAAGCGTATGTCACGAAGTGATTTTCCGTCGGTGAATTTAGCATAGAGCCACTTGAGAGTGACGTGCTTTGCATTCCTATCGTTTGGTTCCACTTCTCCTACTTCACAGCCTGCCTTTTCACCGCTTTCGGCCGACTTAGCAGTGCCTTTGTACACTTCACAGGAGACGCCACAGCCTATATAGTACTCTTGGCTGTAGTGCTCATCGAAGAGTCGAAATGAGCCCATATTGCAAGTGTTGCAGCGAGAGTCTTCACCGAACTCGTATGCGGTGTCTGTGCTTGTGATCATTTGAGTGGAGTGAGGAGAATGGCATTCTCCCCCCTCCATATTAACATTCTCCTTACCCTCCTTCGTTCTCTCCTTTTTCTCTGGCGATGTTGGAGAACTGGCATCTCTCGTTTGTGCGGTGCCACTATCTCCCTCTGCACTCCAATCCTTCATTGCGCGCACTTTTGCACTGAAATCCGGCAGCGAATGGGAAGAACTCATTCCACTGTCACTCACTTCCTTCCATTTCTTCATTCCAAACCACAGTGTTTCCTGCGAATGACTCATCACCAAGTTCATGCAGCTCTTGGACTTTGGTAGCTAAGAGTACAAAAAATATGGATGGGATTAACAAAACACCACGGATTTGGCTTTCACTCAAAAGGTATTGATCATGAGGTTGTGTAACTCTTTATAATGGTCATTTTTTGCCTTGTGTTGGCAAACCTCCTCACTCACTCCAATCTCGCAACTCAACCCCAACCCTCCCCTTCCACGCCTCCCCCACCCACTTTTGCTCCGTTTTGAGTAAATTCATTTACATTTGCCATCCTGAAACGACAGACCGGGTGAAAACTTAACAAGTTGATGCTGACATCTAACCCTTCGTACATTGTTTGAAAGACAACTTTTAAATCCGGTTCTCCACAGCATCATGTCTTGTCACGTGAACTTGGAGATACACTCTATCTCGTTTCCATGCTCTATTTTGTGGAATCGAAGTTAGTATTAGTAGACATGAATGAATTCTGCGAGGAGCAAGGAGAGGAGGCACCTGTGTTCTACAGCATGCCGTTGGTCATTGGAGTGTTTTGAATTGTTCAGACGACATGTGTCGTGACTAATTTCAAATGAAGGAGCTGAAGAAGTCGGGCTGCAATGTAAATTAGCAGTAGACAAGTGTGCAATAAAAATGGCAAATTCTGAAAAATCCCCTTCACTTCATTTTTCGTGAATTCAGGAGACCTTCCAGCAAGCAAAGTTGGAACCAATTGAGCAAATGTTTAAAGTACATATATATATCTTATTTTTAGAGTGCCAGCTCACGGCTAACCCATGCATTCGAGTGAACAAGTGGGCAAATGTCAACAATTTTATCACCTGCCCATCAATTAGAGTTACAAGTACTCTGGCTCTATTGTAAACAATAGTAAGCACAATTTCTATTCAATATGCTCAGATGACATTAATAAACAATGCCTCATAATTACTTTTCTTCCGAATGATCCCATTGCAACTGCACTCATTTTCCACAAGCTTGATCTCTAATTCTTCAATTAATTGCCGCCTCAACTTTAGATAAACAAAGTGCTTGTTGTCCAAGTGACTCAACGATGTCCAAGAGTCCACACCTTTTTATTAAAATAACATACTTTCTAACAGCTAGTTTTGAATTAATTAAAAAAATACATATTATGATTTCTTTGAATTTTTTCACACAATTTTTTGTTTGAAACAATGCAGAGTCTATTTGGCACATTTTAATTCCCTTACCATTATGATATTTGCATCCGGTCAGTCGCTTACTCTTACAATTTCACGAATTCGCACTGCCACCTTACATCAATTATCAATAACTTGAAGGAAATATTTCGAACACTCACATTTTTGTTCCTCAAGTTCTTTCAATTCTGATACGAATTTCAAGTCATATACCCAAATTTCAAAATACGCGCATCTAATGTGGGCAGTTCTGAATAAATTGCAAATTGCCAATTTAAATTGGTCAGGGTTTCTTTAATGATTTGTAGAGTATTTGGAGCGATCGTACTACATGGAATATTTATATTTCCATCTAGGTAAATGCTACCTTTGATTGTCCCGTTTGTTTAAATTTCAGTCGTCTTGTTGCATAGTAGAGAAGCTTCTTTGGCTGTTTTCAGGCACTAACGGGGGAAAGGCACCACCAGAAGAGTGAAATTGAAAAAGTGGCCAATGGTTTGAGCACGACTTGACTTTTACTAAGTAAAAATCAGTGTACTAATAACCTTGTTGTGCTAGTATTGGTTGGCATGAGTTGGATTCAATCTTCACGAAGGTAATTTCAATCACCATGAACATCAATAAGTGTGAATTTGTGACTTGATAGAAATGTCTAACTAGCTAAATACTGACAGTAACCAACATGTCAAATCCATGCAATTATATCAACGAAAATTGCAAATTAAAAGTACAAATGTTCAAAACTATTACATTTCTTTGGAAACTGGAAAACTTGATGAAAGCCTTATGTTCAAAATGGAACTAAATTGTTTTCATCTAAAGTAATTATTATAATTGTTTTTTGGAAGAAAATTTGCAAGATCATCACCACTGTGAAGTTAGTTGGAAGTGGGATTATAAATGCTTTCAAGCATTTCAATGTCTGGAGTTTCTTACATTACCTTGGTGTTTGAGGAAAGCTCTCTTTAACGGAGGAAAATCTCGATTGCTACGATTGGTCAGGTTTGTGCACATTGCCTCTTTTTCTCTACGTTTTACAACGCCCATTCACAGCTATCTTTCCCAATTGATAAACCGTCGTCGTATGTATATATGAGGTTACTTTTGACGGTACAAGAACATGGAATATCCACATTAATAATTTTATTTCGCTAAGCACTTCCTGCTTCATTTACCACGTAAACTTCTAATAAAACAACAAATAGACACACAGTGCTCCTTTGGTCAGAAATAAAACAGTCTCGCTATATTATTATTATTACTAATATTACTGCTAATAATGTTTTTGGTTTTATTTTCTATCATTTCGAAAGTGTTGTTTACTTTAAAGATAATAGCAAACGGTGCAAATTTTGACTTTAGAGGAATGACCCTCAATAGTTCCAATTTTTGAGCATTCGAATTTGAACCCCGAAGGTACTCCTAATCTTCAATGAATTAAATAGACAAACGCCCAGTGCTACTATTTGCTTAAGCTATCTCTGCGTAAAACTAAAACATTGTTGCTTGTTCATCTAAATGCACTTTTAAGTCATGAAATGTAGGTGGAGACTGCGATGGAAGATTGAAAATGACTTTAATGGTGAATATTCTCTCCGGTAAAGCAATATTGCACATTTGGCACATATTTGAAGGTATTTATAAAGTCTACTGCTTTGGGCCAGTTGTTAAGGAATCAAATATTATAGTTGGTGAACACTTTGGAAACCTACTTCCGAACATCTTGAAGGTCTTTGAATTCAGAACATTTTCAATTTTGCACGAAAGCAAATCCAAACCAAATCCATTTACAGGCGCTACTTTTGATGGTAGAAAATGATTCACCTTTTAGATTGACATTTGCAAAATCCACTTGTGAGATTTCTACTGAGGGTGGAAAATGAAGTGGTAGAGAGAATTGGGTCTTACCAGCTGTCGTAGAACTTATGTTGGATACTCATCAAGCAAACGTCTGCTTGAAGAGTCATCTCGAATCTGTGTATGAGTTACATTAATCAAATGAAATTTTCTGCTAGAATGTAGACTTTTGTTTTATTTTACCAAATGTTGAACTCCAATACGATTGCAACCATGGAAAGGGAGGATGAAGTAGAATAATTCCATGCGAAGGTTGCAAACACTGATGTCCGCATTATGTGGCAAACACAGTAAGCCCAAAATTGAACTTCGTTCTTTATGAGAAAGAAATTTCAATCTGGCAGTAAAGAGGTCTGATAAAGAATTAAAATGATGCATAAAACTGTATTACAACATTTGTATCAATAAGTGTTACGCACTAGTTACTAAATGAGAAGTGAAGTGTTAGGCAAATATTCTATTTTAATATAAGTTCTCTTAATTACTCGCATTGGTATGCGGTGCAGAATGATCTCGTTTGGTTTGATTAAATAAAATTAAAGCATAATTGTTATAAATGAACATTTATGGGCCACCATTATCTGCCTTTAATAGTATGTCTAATTATATTACTACTATGACAAAAATAGAACGCCTTTTAAGATTTCCATGGTAACTCGAAGAGCACTCGTAGTGGAAAATTGTTGCATTTTGAAATATGGACAAAATAGCCCATATTTGAGGTCAAGTGTCATCTATTTCAACCCACTTGACGAAATTTTCTCGGTCTACTCTACCACGTATATGTTATGATCATTTTGTTAATTTTGTGAAAATTAAATTCCAAATAAATCCCATGTAATCGTTTTCCTCTTCATTTTTTCCAAGCCGCAGCCTTATGCTGTTCAAAGCAACGAGAAGAACAGCTAGAATTAATGTGCGCATCAGAAGCACTGAAACAACTGCTTTAACAATAACAGCTTATTTTGAAAAAGCAACCAGTCACAAGGAGAGTAGAATCTTATTTCACTCTATCATGTGGTATTTAACTGGCCTTACGTCGAGCAATATGCCAACTGGAAAACCATCTCAGCAAGCTGTTGGAACGACCAACGTCGCCGATAGGACCAGATCGTTTTTTGAAGTGGGTTAGATGCAAATTTTGGACGAGTAATTAAAGGGCTGATTAGTGTCCGTTATTTTGAAAAAAAGTATTATTTGAGAACAACAATTTAAAGGCTAGTGAAAAATCCAATGCATCTCTGCTTGGAGCATAAAAATTATTAGAACGCAATCATTCTAGGTGAGGTTGTCAAATCCTTATTCTCATATACCCAATTTTCCACGACTTGTTAAAATAGCACAATGTAATTGTTCTTTATAGATAAGCAAGGTCATTATTTTGGAATCAGCGTCTTGCAAACCATCTCCCATCAATGTGGTAGAAATAACGCGTAATATCAGTGCTGCATAAATGAATTATTATAATGCCTCTAACAGCAAAACTGAGCTCACTAGAGTTAACGCAAACTTAGATCTTTTCCAAGAAAAAGTTCCAATAATTTAACAGTTTCCTTTAGTTCCACGACCCATCGGCAACCTCCATTTTTATTTTTCCATATGCTGCAGTATTCAATGCATTAATACCAATTTCTACAGAAGTTTACAAAGCCTTAAATTTTTAATTTACTGCTGATGCATTTTCTGCAACAGGTAGTCATGATGGAGAGGACACAAGACAATAAGATGCAAAAAATTAACAATATCATTTTCAAATGTACCAACGGGCCAATAGCGTAACTAGTAAATATGTCATCTTTCTCCCATCTGAAAATTCTTTCTGCCCTGACAATACTCAATCAGATATGGATTTGTTATTTTGTTGTGAAACTTTCCGCGTATTCACTTGAAACTGTCTACATTTCTTATAGCAAATTTACGATTTATTTAGTGGCCCAAATGTAGCAATATATAGCAATTGATTCTTCAGGCACATTTTGGATTTTACTCGAAATTTCCCTTGAGACTGTTAAATACAACGTTGGCACCACAAATGCAGATGGCTGGTTAGGGCAGTGATCTTAGATCGCAAAGCTAGATCCATAGTCGGACATGACATGTCTTCTGGTTGGGTTACTGGATCACCTTCCTGAGGTTCCCTTGTTAAAAATTTCAATGGAACTTTTCCCACAGGACGTAGGTTCTTTCATCGAATCAGGATTAGCCTGGCATGACTCAGATTCTCCAATGGCCCAGAAGATTCATAGTCCAACAGTTCCATTAGTTCCTCTTTCTCCACTGCAAATCAATTCATCCTTCCTACAGCTCCATCCTTTCCACCCTCTCCATGTCACCTTCATTGATTTTGACGATTGCATCCAGGACCCATGTTTTGGAATGAATAATTGTCTATGCAACTAACAGAAACACACATGCTTTAACTCAACACTACACACAAAATTTTGTTTTACATAACATTGTCCTCTATCATAGCACTTGCATTTAATGAACAACTTATAGGTATTACATGAGTGGACATAAAAGTAACCGATTAACTAAAACCAAAGTTATACGAAGCTCTGGTTCAGGCACTCCTATGTGCAACAGAGAAGGCAGGCGGAAGGAACATTTTGCATGAGTGCTTGCTTAGAAGCAAATGGGGACTTTCTTTCCTTACCACAGGTCACATATTCAAACAAGTGTAATTAACAGTAGGATAAACTAGTAAAATAAATATGATAAATTGTTGCTTTTAAATTAAGTAGGACATTATAAACTCTACAATAAATTAAACTTGTGCTTTTCAAGCATTCAAAACATTTGTCTTTCATTTGAAAGTGGAGCCTTGTATTTGGCAATGCCTGAAGTTTGGAGCGACCCACTTGTACGTTACATGTATAGTTATTTGTAAAGTTCGTCATGGCGAATTCTTAGAGAAAAAGCCTAGTTTGTAGTTATTACTTGATGATTAAGCAAACCAGAAATTCCTTAATTAAATTGCCGTAATCGCCACTATAAAGCCACTAGGGTCGACTAAAATAGAAAAGAAAATTGTTAAGACAAATTTTAGCTGTATGAAATTTTGCGGTATTATTAAATTAGTGAAAACATAAATATATTTTATTTTATAACTATCAAAATATTATTTAGGGAACGATGTCAAAAATAATAAATGTTTTTTTGGTAAAAAATAAACAACATAATTTAAAATAGCCTAAGGTAATTCTTGCTTATAATATTTTCTTATTATTCAGTTATTTTTAAATGGATCAAAATACAATTCTGAGGTTATTTTTGCTGTTTCCTCAGCCAATGAGCTTTAGCCCAATTTATAAGTGTTCCTATTTGGACAGATCCTATGAGCTTCAATGCTTTCCCCATTTACGTTTAATAGTAGAGCTTTTCTAACTTTCTTTCCACTAAAAGTAATTTTATCCTATATCTATTTATGAATAAGCATAATTTTACTAGAAATAAATGGATCCACGAATTTCACCTATTAAACCCCATCAAGGCTTTCGCCAATTACAGCGCCAGAGCCAGCGTCGTTACAATCCTAGAGCTAATGGACATCCTGTCCGATATATTCCTCCATCAGATTTGCGACAGTCAATTTATGGTCAAAGTGAGGCAACCGAATCCCGTCGATATGATTATTCGAGAACTTTTGTTGAACAGGACCATCATGAACGTGTTACTCCATCTTCGCATATTAGTAACAACTATCAGGTTCGTTTGGGTTGCTTATTAAGTCGCAATTTGCCAATTATATTTTACATGCCATTGTTCCACTTAGATGTCTTCGCGGTCATCAGTGGGTGGTCCAGTTATTCTTGACACCCACAGTGACAGATCTCCCTACGTTTGTGTAAGTATGGACTACGTTCCTGATCGTGGACGTATGCTCTGGTCTAGATGGATACTTATCGTGCTCTGTCTCGGTCAGCTCATTTCAGCATTTGCTGTCATTGGTTGCCATGCAATTGATTTTTCCGAGGATACCAAGTTGGAGGTCGGAGTCTCCTTGGGACTTCTTGCTTTTGGCAATATTTTTGGTAGGCATTTTGACTGGCGTGCCTTCTATTTCTTGAAATTTACTTGTTATATAATATAATTTGCTCTTTTTATTCAAACTCATAAATAGCAGAAAAATACCTTTTAGTCATTGTTGATATGAATAATATTTAATGAAAAAATAAACGATACTGCTATATTTAAAAATGGTTTCAATTTAACATTATCAAAGTCATTTTCTTACACACATTTTAATTGATATGTTTTAAGGGCTTTAGTCACAAAAAATAAGCAAATCATTGTAATTATAAAAGAAATAAAAATATATTATCTAGAATAACCTGAGGTATTTTTTTACTAAGGGGAAGGGGGGTCGCAAAATTTGTAAATTATCATTCTTACACCAACTATTTTGTTATTTGTAGTATTCCTATGAATTAAAGTTCAATTTAAAGCGACGTAATGATAACTGCATTAGGAACCGGGTTTTCAGGTCAGAATTTGCTTGTAAATTTTTATCCCGTTTTTCACAAATTAGTTTGTCAGGTTTATGCGATTGGGCGTTACCCTCATTCCCATTTCCGACGAAACGAAGCTGTTAATACTCACTGACTTCTACCGATGAGTGTGTGATAAGTGGCACGTTCTGCCACAGCTTTAATTGGTAACAATTTAGCATTTAACGGTTATCTCTGATTTCGCATTTACTTATTAAATTCACACGGAGTTCGCTTATTTAAATGCATTCGCGATAACTTTATCAACTAAAATAACCTGTCGCTTTGGTATTCTTAGTGTCAAATTTACATTTTTTTACTGCCGTTTAACAGAAGCCTATCTGGCTATTTGAAAAAAAGCGTATTTGCAATTAAAAATGATGAAGTGGGATGTTTTTTAAACTTTATTTGATGAAATTACACGATAACAGTAATGACGTTCAGTGTTTGAATGCGAAAGTAATCCACTTCAATGCTTCGAAGATGGCGATTCATTCACAACCTTTTTTTCGCTGTTTTGGTGTAGAAGAGCTGCTTCAATACATTTGATGAAGTTAAATGCAATTATAAGTGAATTAAATTCCTTAATTCCTTTCGCCATTAGTAAATTATTTTAGACTTTTATTAGGTGTGTAGATATTTTGCTCTTATTTATTGTGCGTTCAACGATTGTATCTAGCAGAATACATTGTTCTAAATATCGGACTATTTCATTGTCCATTTCAAAGCACTTCCCTGGAAATCTGCTCTACTCTACGTGCTCTACCTGAACTCAATATCCCTCCATTGGATATGTTTTCACACATAAATGTCAAAAGTATCAATTTTGCGTTAATTCCTTCTTTGGATAAAGTTGACTAGTGCGCTTAGAATAAGCTGAATTGCAATTAGAAATAAGTTAAAAGAATAGTTAAAACAGATGTACTTAAAATAAACCATTTTGTTCAACTTTAAAATAGACATTTTCCATGATCCAACTAAGACTTATTAAATCACTCCATACTTTCCTGTGGATAGTGTATTTTATTAGGGCTTTTATCAGGACTAAAATAAAATACTTGGTATTATTATAAGTTATTTCCCAACTCGCTCTTAGATTTCAAACCACCCATCTATCAAATTCAATCCAATGACTCTTCTATTATTAATGGAAACAAGAGAGAAAAACGGTATACTTTTCCCAAATAGATGGTCACTTATTGCGCTTGACTATAAAATAAGATTTTTAATTCCTAGTTGATGGATTTTTCTAATATTATTGATATTAAAGTAGCACCAAGCTCTTGCAAAATTGCTCTAAGTATCCGACTGAGTTGACAAAAAATCAAATAACTGTAACGTCTACAAACAAAGACCTTTGCCAGATCAAAAAAGATGAGCAGGATTTGCGTTGATACGCTGAATTCAGAAAGAAGATGTTATTTACTATTTTGGGCCCTACATTTTGCTCTTAATTTCTGGCCTGAATCTGAAGCCTCTATGCACCGAGACTCACTGTCTAACGCAAACTGGGTGGTAGTTAGTTCACTGTAAGGGTGCAATTAGAACAAAGGTCGATTAGTGCGTGTTGCTAGAGTATTTAACATTATTGCATGAATTTCACCCTCTGTTAATCTAAAAAAAAGAATTTAAAATGTTACCACACTCATATTGTTGTGATTTTATTTCGCATTTGTAAATTTAGTTCTTTGCTTATGCTTAAAATGTTTTTTTTAGTTATTTCAAATAGCAGCCGTTTTAGTAATTATCATTTGCACTTACCTGACTTCGGACTTCACAGAGAGGAGGAAAGACAAAATCTCAGAATGTGGAGAGGGGGGGGGGGGAACAGAAGAGGATTCACAGATGTTAAAGAGACTGACAGGCACAAGTGCAGAGAAAAGGTATGATGAGTACTGTTGAAGTGGTCGAATTTGACATACAGTGGGGTCATAGTAGTTTGAAGTCAGTAGTCAGCTGCCGGTTAATAGACTTTTTTGCCGCATGAGTATACGTTGCTGCGGGTGCACACTCCAATAGAAGGGTAGAACTTAATGATTTCCTTCCATGTAAATAAGGAGGCCTTTGGAGGTGAAGAATGGCTTTTTCCTCCTTGGTTTCTAGACCGTTTAAAATCACTATCTATTGCGTTTTCTAACAAAGGGAATAGTGCCCTATAAGTCATACTTTCGGAGTTGATAAACAAGTGTTTTAAGCTGTTTGGAATAAAGCCTACCTCACAATCATCAATCCCAAAGTAGGTGAGATGAGAAATCCGAAGAGGAACTGAAAATTTTATTTTATAGTCAAAAAGGTGAGCTAGTTTACCCCCTGAATGTAATTAATCAATTGGCCTCAACTTATAATAGCCGCTGGCATCCACTTTGCTATTTGAGATAATAATAATAATAATAGCCAATTTGATCTGCATACTCGGCGGAGCATAATTGGCGGAAGATGGGATCGATTTGCTCATCAAGAAGGTTGCCTTCAATTTACTTAAGCCACGCCACGCCAAGTTAAAGTTCAGTTTCAACCATTGTTTTAACAGATTGTTGCTAAACCCATGACAGAAATGTCTTATCTATTTCCCTGAAAAATAGGCCATTCAACTATTTTCCATTTTTTCATCCAAAATCTTTATTCCGTGCCACATTCTTTAGTGTTCCTCCATATTGCGTCAATTATTACACCAATTCATTAATATTCACTTCTAGAAGTGCGGAATTCTACTAACCATCAAGATTTGAAGAAATTAGCGAATTTTGAGTAGCTCGAGGTTCTCTCTGCTTCAATTAGAATTCATTTAAACCACACGCTGCATGCATAATTAGGTCTTAATAGAGTGCAGTTTTTCGAAGTAGTTCTCCCTCAAATTGAGTTTAAGAGTGCACATTCACGTCGCTTTATTTTTTAACTATATTACTCCTCGTAAAAATAAATATGCTTATTTGTTATTTTGACGAGGGTAAATAAATTTAAAAATGCTGTGCTCAAAAATTACTGAATGAGATAATATCGAGTTTTTATGAGTCTGTAGAGGCGAAAGGCATCTATGGGAGACAGTTCGAAAGTGGAATTTTCCTTTTCTTTAATTGTTTTTTAGGAAGAATGAAGAAGCATAAAGTGGTTTCACACTAACTCATGAACTACTGCATTTTGAAACAGTGTATTCTTTCGAACATCTGTCTTTGACTCAAGTACGACATTTAAGACACTTGGAAGTGATACGGTTACCCAAACTGATGGTCTACTGGAGGTGCTGATGTATGATCTTTTTCTACTATTTAGCAAATTAGAACTAGTTTGAGTGTATACTATAATGGTAAATACATTTGAACAAACAATGTCATGCAGAATTGTCATCCAACTCGACATCCTCTAGATGAATCAGAAATATTGAATGCCTTGGACAAAGGATTACCTCATCGTAGCAGATTTCTTGAAGTGTGCTTATCTAATCCCCATCGAGTTTTGCTACTAATTATGTCTTCATATTTAGTGTTTGGCTTTGTATTATCAGCAAATAATCACTCAAACCAGATTAGCCCCTCCCCCAAAGTAGGCACAAATTCCAGTACCAAGAATAATAATAACACTAATAATAATGCATGGAATACCTTAAAGGTTTGCTTTACTCCAAAAGTTTCCAAGGCAACGACAGTTTTATTAAGCCCATTTGAATAAATTTGTGATTTTTTTAACAATTTTGTCAATAATTTTTAAATGATTTTTTTTGCTTGAAATTTTGTCTTTCTATCTTATATAACCGCTGTCTGTTTCCTGAGTGCTTTAAAGATATAAAAGAGACAGACACAAAGGTAGAAAAAAGATGAGGTGAGTACTGTGAAAGTAGTCGAAAATGACATACTGTGGGGGATGGTAGTTTGAAGTCAGAAGTCAACTACCAGTTAATAGACTTTTTTGCTCTATGAGTATACGCACACCCCAGTTTCTAGAATGTATTATCGCAGGTCTTTCTACTCTTAAAATAGTGTGATTTAATTTAAAATCTTGATTATTATTAGCTTTATAATATATATACTATAAATGAATTATTACTTCACTTCATTTTGGCCCACTCGTTTGGGATTATAAACCCCACAGTAGTTAATATACGTATACTCTGATTAGAATTAATAGCACTATCTCAGTTGTACCCAACGCCCAGAGAGACCACTCCTTAAGCGCATACTTTCTGATTTTCATGGCTATTTGTACCTCTGCATATGGAGTTGGTTACAAATCCCTCTCGTTAAAAAGGTAAAATTGATCTACGCACCACAGTACTGCCATCTATTTCACGAAAGAATATGATGATTTACAGTGATTCCAAAAGAAAACAGTGCTTACACCAGATCTAAGATCATTTTCTTTCATTAGGATAAAATAAATCTTATAATATCTGTTGCCTTGGTTTATCCAAATTCAAACGACCGTTATAATTTTATTGATTATTTTCTGTCAGTTTATACGGCGTGGCTCATTTCAGAGCATTTATTGTTTATTGGCTTAATATCGATTATTAATATTTCTATCGATTATTTCTATTTACCTTTTATTAACTATTTAGGAAATCAGGCCTAAATAGCTGATTACAGTGACTTGGTTCTTTATACCTTATGACTTTATCAAATAGTTATAACAGATATCAGTTATCTTAATCGACACCTACTTAGCTCGTTAGCTCTACTTACAGCAATGTGATCTATAATTCTCACAACGATGCCTTTCCCATCTAGCTTCTGGTATCGTTACTGGGGTTCTCTTTTTCCGTCGTTGGAGAAATGAGGAAGTGAGGGCCAAATCGGAAGATAGCGAGGCGAATCACGAGGCCTGGATTTGTACCAAAGTGGCTCTCTCACTCATCGGAATGGCTCCTATTTCAAGGTTAGCTCATTCTTCCCTCCTGAAGCAGTTCTTGTGACAAAAAATGACTACTACAACTAGTTTTCCATATCTCTTGATTTGTACCGATGTGTATTCATTTTCTGACCCCTTACTTAACAGGTGTATGTGTTGGCCATCGCATTAGATCGTCACTTTTCCTACTACTTGAAGAGCTCATCTTATATTGTGTTTTGACATCTACGAATGGCATGACTCAACGAACGTAAACAATTTACCTGTGAATGGAATACGGGTAGGGAAGACGTGATAATAGTCACTCAAAATGCGTGTGTAGGTACACTAATAAGCGATTCATCCGTCTGCTTCCATCCAACGGTTGGAAATGAGCTTGCACTTTGAGACAACTTAAATATGTAAATATGATCAAGTGAAGGGAGAAAATATTTGCGAAATCCGGCGGTCTTACTATGCGTTAAAATAATTTAGCATTTTTTTCCTTTGCTTATAACCCAAGAAGTTAAAAGGTGTCTGCCTAATTTGTTCATACTGTTAGACCCTTTTATATTTTTTTTGTTCTCTGGGCTGCTTTTGTCCTAAATGTATTGGCCCTTATTTTTCCCGTTTCTTCGTAGCATTCCTTTTTATTCAAATAGGCCATTTCGAATTGCTATTAAACATAGCTGAGATAAGTGAATTCTTTTAAGCAAGCGCCCAAAAGAATCCTTAAAGGCGTATTTTTTGCTAAATTAATACCAGATTTGTCTTTTTGCTTATTTTTGCCATGGTGAGAATTGTCTTGGCTACTGCTTAGTGTAGAAAATACGCGCGTTGCTATAGTAACCCAAAACAAGGCATCTGTTTCTATGGTACACCCAGTGTATATCCTGTCGCAGTTTGACTGTTCCAAGTGGAATGCATGGTTGGAGTTGGTTTTATCTCACATTTTGAGTCAATGAAACTATTGCTGCCTAGCACTTGTCCTTATTCGTCTAACATTTTAATATTTCATTTTTTTGATGATAGAATAATTTGCATAGAAATGGTGCTCACGAAGTTTATTTGGGTCTTTTGTTTGAAGGCGTCACAGGTGTCATGTGTGTCTTTTACTGATTATCAGCTAATCAGGTTTAACTACTAATTGATTTTGTTAATCAGTGTTAGTAAAGGGACTCATTTTAAATTTATGCTTATTGGATCTCCAAAGTGCGCCCTATTTGATTATTTGTAGCAAAGTCTTCACTAGGAGACGTTTATTAGCTGTGAAAATTCAATGATTCCTAAATTTAAATGTAAAGGTCAGCTCTTATTAAGCCGCATTTAGATTAAAAATGTAATTAATGCCATTACAAGTACAAATGATCTGCCAGCAGGCATAATTCAACTTGATGTACCGTTATTATGTGCTTGCAAAAAGCAAATTTCTGGAATTTCGAAAGATTTTCCTCAAGGAATTTAAAAGTAAAGTAATATTGACTGCAGGGATCTTCTTATTCGATTTCTTGACCTTTTTCTCAACCGTGCTTTTATAATCCCCCCCTTCCCTATCTTCCCTCCTAGTTATACTTCTTCTACTACTCGTTGACTTTTGAGTGCCTTACTTTTATATTAAAATATAGTGAATGTGTTCGATATGCTTAATCGTAATAAATTGGAGTCCATTTGGCTATTCCATGAGATTATTGATCTATAGGGTTGTTGTTAAGCTGAGAATATGGGATCTAAGTTTCAGATTAGAGGGTGAAGAAACGGACGACAACATAGCCATGAATAACTAGCACTATTTTCAACGCATTCAAGTACTTGTTATCTATTTAAGTTGTTGAAATTGGTTTAGTTCTAGTCATTTACTTCATGAGATGTGTGTCAAATATATTAAAGGTACTGCGATTTTCCGAACATTAATTACTGGAAACTTTTAGTGAATGTCCGCCATTTTAATTACTGATACGTGGAACTATTAAAACAACTGAATGCGATTAAACACGCTCTTTTGATTTTAGACAACTATTACGAGTTCATTTCTAAGTTTAATATATCCTTCAAACCTTATCGAACTTGATTTTATGAGCCTATTACGGTGTATTAGTAGAAATTTCAAAAATAAATTAGCATGAACCATATTGGCTGTCATAATACTTTACTTCCAAACTACTCGCGTTTCGTAAATTTAGGTATGTGGAACTATTTGCTGTTTATCGTCGATTAAGTAAGTTGGAGAGACGTCTAAAGAAGGAACGGGCTTCTGCTGCAAATTCAACCAGTGCTCAAAATCGTGAACTCATGTCTCAAAGCCCCACTCGTAAGTCTCGTTGCAAAGTTTGTAAAGTTATTCGGAGGCATTTTGTCTAAGTGCCCTTAATTCTCAAATTCAGCTTCGATAAGTCTGGATCCGAGTCAGCCGAACAGAGATCGAGAAAGACTGCATCGACTTCGGCGTCTTTTTATCCAGTTAGACTTTGATGCTTGTGTTGTGGGTCTAGCAAATGCTACCCTTGGAGCAGGACCTTTTGCCATAGCTCAAGGGGTCCTCTACCTTCGTAGACTCATGCTTAATCGTATGATGCCTAATTCTACTGGTACGGAAATATTTAAATCACTCTCGTACTTAAATTGTTTGAGTAGAACGGTGTTTATCTCCCAATTTTAGGTGGAGCAATACTTGCCTCCTTCATTTTCTCACTGCTCTGGTTAACTTCTACTGCATGTCAATTCCAGCCTGATGCTCATTATCTTCCACCCTCTCAACTACTTAGAAAGGCAGCACATCAGCACGATCATTTGGTCTCAGCAAGCGGAAGAATATTACTCTTTTTTGCCCGAGGATTCCATATAACCATCAGAATGATCACTTTTACATTTTTTGCTGGATTATTTGGTTGGATGCTGGGAGTTGTGGTCATTGTGCATGCACTATTTTATCTCATAATGCTAATGATCTATCGTGGAAATCGCCCAATTCTATCGGCCTCTTATAAACCTAATCCATCATATCGCAGACCACTGGATCAAAGACTTCAGGTATTCGGTAGTAATGTATTCTTACTATTACGTCTAAGCATTCTGAAACTAGTCCATTATGTTAGGCAGACTGTTAGCTGAGGGTATTGGTTTTGTTGCTTTTCCCGTTAGCTCAACTTAAATTTAATGCCGTTTTAATGATCCTATGGATATGGTGAATATCCGAAATACTCATGAATAAGAATGCATCAAATTTTATCAGTGTATTTTTTTGCATACATATTAGATAGATGTTTCTAGATTTATTTTAGTTCTCATAAAAATACTCTTTGCTCTGAAATCTTATGTAATGTTCTTTATTTATTTTACTATTTTTTCAGATCTAATGTGTCTGTGTTGACTTTTAGCATGAGTGAAACTGAATATATTGTTAATGTTGAATCTTGATACAGTCAATCTTTTTTGAGAATGCTTAAAATTGTCAAATAAGAAGCAATCTTGTTGTATTCGTAACACCATAGGATTATCAATACTGGATAAACTAAGCTACTATGCATAATAAAAATAATCTTCCAAATATGAGTTCATTTGAAATGCTTTAAACATTATTTGTATTCCGTTAGACTCCTATTTTAATATTAATTCTTTGTAAGGTAAAACTTTTTCACACTATTATAACGTTAAGAGGTCTTGTTTCTACCGCAAGAGTCCTCTGTTCCCATTGAATATTGTCGAACTATGGTTTGCTCATTCTGATAGGGAAAGACAAGACCCAAGATACGCTTTTCTTTCCAGAGTCTATTCATTAGCTGGTCTGTTGCGAGAGGAGGCGTGTCTGGATTAGCGATCTTGATAATCCGTTCAACACTTATTTATTTCAGGGGCGTGTGATGGACTTATCTCCACGTGGTGCACCCTGGGCAACGTATACTCATACGGCAAAAAAGTCTATTAACTGGCAGTTGACTTCTCACTTCAAACTATCATCACCTCACTCTATGCCATATTCGACTATTTCACAGTACTCATCTCACCTTTGTTCGACCTTTGTGTTTGTCTCTTACATCTTTGAAACACTCTTTTGCCCCCCTCTCGACTATTTTTCAATTTGATGTTCCTTCCCCTCTGTGAAGCCTGAAGTCGGCTAAAGGGCTAATGATAACCATTAAGACGCCTGTCATTTGATATAAGTAAATAAA